CCCCGCCTGTACTGCGGGGCTGGGGGGCACTGGGTGTGAGTGAGCAGGGAGCCAGTGGGAGCACGGGGCCTGCACCAGTGTCCTGGGGCTAGTGGTGGTGGGGCCCAGAGCAGGGTGGCAGGAGAGCGGGGTCCCAGCTGGCAGGGGCTCTATGGAGCCGGGCCAGCTCCCCACTCCCTGCTAATGCAGCCCAGCCCAGCTACACAGGCCCTTGCCAGCCTGTGCCCCACTCTGGGCCCCACCGGTGCTGGCCCTGGGACATTGGTCCCAAGACATTGGGACATTGGTCCCACGATGGTGACCAGGGGGTGGGGCAAGTCAAGGGGTGGGGCACCTGTCATGGGGCGGGGCTACCCATGCGGCCCTCGACAGCCTGCCAAAATTGGATAAGCAGCCCTGCACCCAAAATAATTGCCCGCCCCTGGCTTAAGTCCTGGTGACTTAAATGGGACTACCCATGTGTTGAAAGCTCAGCACATGGGTACTCAGCACATGATAAGTACTTTGCTGATTCAGGGCTTATTTATCTTGTATGCAAAAAAGTCATAGTTATGAATGATCTGTAGAACAACAGGAAAAGAACCACTAAAAATATTTTAACTAGCCCAAAACCACACTTTTAGTAATAATCTCATTCATTTTAAAATAATAATAACACAAATTAACTCATTTTGGGGTTCTGGGAGGGAGACAGGACATTATCAACACCTAAACACTATTTTTCATACATCACTATATTTCATGAATAGGATAAATTTGCACCCAGTCCTGGAGTGCAGGGGCTTTCCCTGGGATCTCTGAGCATAGACTAGCCAGTATAGTCCCTTCACTTCCCTAAACACCATGCAAGTGCTGGCTCTCAGTGCAAGCTTCCCCAAAGCATGTACAAAAAAAATGATGTGATGTCCACAGCACTGCCATTCAGTCTGCCACTGATGCTTCCCTCCTGGCTGTATTCAGTAATACACACTTAACAGGCCAGTTGTAGCTAAACAGAAAGTTCTTTTGACTTTCAAAACTTTAGAAAATAGATACTGTTTGATCACAGGGATGAAGCTTACCAGCAGCTCTTGAAAGCTGGAATTTTATAGCACCATGGACAGAAATGTATGGGAGAGGCATACACTCCTCACCTTGTTTCAGTTTTGCTCACAACATGTGAAGTGCAGAATCAATTTAAAACATTTGTTCATTTAAGTTTTAAGGTATTTTTGCAGATATTTTGCTAGCACATTCACTGATCTTTCTAGTACACGCAGTGCAAACTTTTAAATTATTGATGGGAGAAGAGCTCAGAATAAAGTTTTAAAGATTAAACATGAGCTAGGAATCAAGATTAATTGGATCTGTTCCCAGTTCTACAACTTATTAATTGCAGGGCACTAGAAAATTTGCAACATTTCTTTTTAAAGACACACATATATGCACAAAGGACTTAGTCACAAGAACTCACAAAAATGCCCTCTTGTTCCAGAGCCCAGGTCTTCAGGAACAGAGGAGCTGATGAAGCTACCTGCAAAGAAGAGATTGCCTGAAAAATTGATTAGCATTATCTAGAAAGAGGTAAACTGAAAGTGAAATAGGAATATATTTGACCAAACCATACAATTCATTATAGGTCTTTGTACACAAATGATGATTCGACAGCACATAGTCTCCAGAGGCTGTTGCTGAAATGAGCTGCTACATTCATCATTGATGCAGGGGTACTTCTATATCCGTATTTGAAATAGATGGCATATGTAAACAATGTGGACCAAATCCTCTGATGGTGTAAGTCATTATAAACATGTTAACTTCAGCAGGTCAATGCTGATTTACATCATCTGATGATCACATCCTGTATCTAGAGTGACTGCATGGTTCACACTAGCACATCCCTTTCTTGTACAAACGATGATAAAAAACTAAGAACACTGTAGGCATATTTACAATTATACCAGATGATAAACTGAATCTTAAAACATTTACACATCAATGTCACTTTTATTATAAAAACCATCCAAAGTATACTTGAAAACATTTGGGTAATATCAGCTATTACTGTGACCATTAATGACAAACTTTCTCCTTAAAGAACATACTCTTAAAACTAAACCCTTAGGTATGTCATTTTTAAAGAAGCAAAAAAGTAATTTCAAGTGTTGAAATGTTACAGCAGCAGAGAACAAAAACATTCAATAATCTATTCTTCTGGCACACACTTATACAATGCAACATGTTAAAATGTAGCTATCAAAATAAATATATTTGCAAATATGTAATTATGATATTTCACTAATTACATAAGACAGTGTAGCAAAACCCCCAGTTTTTTCTTCTTTTTTATGTATTTATTTTAAAATGCATTCCCTCTCCTTCCCCAGCCATTTCTGACTTTTTCTCTCCCTCTCTATTCCCTATAGATAAGTACTATTATTAGGTTTGTATTGATTTTTACTGTTGTATATTGTATTATTGTCATTTAAGTATTGATTTTTATTGTTTCATATGGATATTGTATGGTTTTGGCCTGTGTTTGTAAGTGAACCAAAGTCATGTCCAGTTTCCTTTTTATATGTCAAGTTTCCATTTTCTGTCCTCTGCCTGGGCATCCCATGTTGCAACTGTATGAGACACGTACCCCTCCCATGTAAATTGGTTCCCCGATGAATGAGTGTGATTGGGAATGATTGAAATACAATGGTAGCAGGCCTCTACTGAATGGCCTGTAATGACTGGGCCATCACCTCGCATTGATTCACCCAGGAACCACGGACCTCACCCAGGAACAGAGACAAGACCAGCATTTGAAAGACAAAGGACCTTGCAAAACCAGCAACTCTCACCATTACAGACACCAGAAACTGCAAATCCCTGCATGGAGCACACATGCTCAGTATGCCGGGGGCTGACCCTTGCCTGGGCATGCCTCCTGTCACTAGGGTCACACAAGGTCTGCCCCTATAAAAAGAGGCAGTGAAGACAGACCCAGTGGGAACACCATTTCCATCTGGACCAGCACCATGCCACACCACCTATCCATCCAGAGGCCCTGCTGGAGACCCCGCTCTGGACAACACCTACTGGACAAGGACCCCTT